GCCTTCCAAGTAGCTGGAACTACAGGCATGCGCTACCACACCCAGCTAATTTTTTTTTTAAATTTATTGTAGAGATGAGGTCTCACCAAGTTGCCCTGGCGGGTCTCAAACCCATGGGTTCAAGCAATCCACTCACCTCAGCCTCCCAAAGCATAGGCTGAGCCACCGAGCCCGGCTACATAACAGTTTTTATAAGCAATCTGCAAAACCGTCTCTGAGCTTAAGCCTAGAGAGTAGGAAGTTCACATATAGATAAAAGGATATTTCAAGGGCATGGAGATGGGAGTCACACAGGTACAATATCATTAGCTTTCGCTGCTCTAACTCCAAGGACATGTACAGGAAGGGAGTGGGAAAAATGAATTCTACGCCACCTGGTCATGCTTGCCAAAAAAATCTGGACCTCAGATAGACTCCAGATTAACGTAGCTAAACTCACCCCACAAGAATCTTGTGGGATACAGAGTTGACCCTTGAGCAACAGGAGTTTGAACTGCTAGGGTCCACTTATATGTGGATTTCCTTCCCTCTTTGCCACTCCTGAGTGAACAAGATCAACCCCTCTTCCCTCCTCCTCAGCTAAAAGACCTTTATGATGACCCAATTCCACTTAATGAACAGCAAATATATTTCCTCTTCCTTATCATTTGCTTAATGACATTGTTTTCTATAGCTTACTTTAAGAATACAGCTTATCATATACATAACATGCAAAATATGTGTTAACTGATTGTTTATGTTATCAGTACAACTTCCCATCAACAACAGGCTATTAGTAGTTAAGAGTTAAGGAGGTCAAAAGTTACATACAAATTTTCAACTTGGGGGGATGCCTCTAGCTTTTGCATTGTTTAAGGGTCTACCGTAATTAGCTTGTACAGATCCCAGTTGACCTAAAAAAATGTCTTCAATGGTTCAGACCAGCGCTTAACAAACTAAGCACAAACCACCCAGGCACTCAAAACCCTTCATATCGGTTCCAACCCCTTTTCCACCGTCATCGACTGTCGCACCCCGGCCCGTAAGTCAAGTCCAAGTGCTTGCCGCTCTCCAGCCTCAGCCGTCTCCCATTGTTGATTGATGGTCCAGCTGCTCCCTCCGCTAAAAATAGTGGGCAGTTGTCGGATCTGCCAGTCGCCCCGCCCCAAGAAACTGAGTTAAAGCCGCACGAATCCAGCAAAGAGCCACAGGTCCACGTATGCTGACAAAACTAGGTCAGCGTGTACGGACCACACAAGAAAGCTTTTCTCACAAGCTTCCACGGCCCACCCGTGAAACATCTCGGTGGCAGTGGCTCTTCAGCGTCCTGGTGCGCCTGCCCGCGACCCCCGCGGGGCCAGGCACCCAGCACAACCTACCTGCCGACAGAGAGCAGCCATAATGTTGAGGAGACTGTAGTTGCGATGGCGCCGGAAGTAGCCGGCACTCCCCGGTCCTTTATTTCCGGCCCCCGGGTCCGTCACCGCTGCTGTCCCGGCACCAGGGCGGGTGCGCGGGGACTGCGTTCCGTCGCAGAGACGGTGGGTCGTGACTCCAGCAGGGAGTTTTGCAGAGCTCACGGCTTTCCGGGGCTCGGTTCTCCCGAATCTGCCCCTACAAAACGGAGGCTGGTGGCGTGTGCGTCACCGCACCGCCGCCGCCTGGTGCTGCAGCCTGAGCCCTCGGGTGCTTGAGTTTTCTGTGGTTACTCGGCTGCACCACCCGTCTTTCCCATGGAGCTCTCAGCTAGTTCAAATAGTCTCCCTGGCCCATACTCTTGCTTCAGTGACCTTAGAATTCCTCTTAAGAGTACATATAAAATGAAACCATAACCTTGATTCAATAACTTAATAGGAGAGCGCTAAAATCTTTCCTAAAGCAGTAAAAATGGATTCAGCTCCAGATAAGGATACTTAAGATTTTTATTGTGTAAAAATCTGTATTCAGAATGAACAGCGGGGCCACACATACAAAAAATAAGTCTTTACCTTTGTTTTCTTTTTTACCCTCAGCCAGTGGAAGATAAGAATTTACTGTTTTTAAATGACTCGACTCAGATAATAAAATGACAAGAGCTATGGCACATTGCCCTTTATAAATAAGAGCCCTCTCAAAAGTCTGGTTTCCTCAGGGTGAAATACAGTAATGTTCCTGCCTAAAGTGTATTCATTCTGATTTCATCTCTAGACCTGTTTGGTTATAGAACCCAGGCAATTTTCAAAAGAGACAGTTGTGCAAATAAAAAAGTATGCTTTCTCAGCTCCCTAAATTCCACCCCTTGTTATCCCAAATTGTTAATTGATAAGCATTTGTTTTATCTACTTCTTGCTGAATTGAGATACAGGGCTTGGTTTCTGTGTGAATACCCATTCAGAGTTATCTGCTTTGTGCCTCACACCCGCTGGGTGCTAATTATTTATGCAAAAATATCTTTTGACAAAAGGATTATGTCAAAGAAAATGAAGATTGTATTCTGTGTAGAACTACAGAATTAGTTGCTATTGCTTTTTTTAGATGTAATTTTTTCTTTTTCTTTTTTTTTTTTGAGTTGGAGTCTCACTCCGTTGCCCAGACTGGAGTGTAGTGGCATGCTCACAGCCACCCCAGCCTCAACCTGCTGGGCTCAGGCGATCCTTCTGCCTCAGCCTTCCAAGTAGCCAGAACTACAGGTGCACGATACCATGCCTGGCTAATTATTTGATTTGATGTAGAGATGAGGTCTTGCCAAGTTGCCCAGGCTGTTCTCGAACCCGTGGGCTCAGGCAATCCCCTCACCTCGGCCTCCCAAAGTGCTGGAATTATAGGCTTGAGCCACTGCACCCAGCCATAATTTTTTTCTTAAATACTCAACTGCCAACACCTTAAAATAAATTGTGTGACTGCTTTTACACTGAATGCCTAAGAAAACCCTGTAAGCCACCCCAACTCCTTGGAAAGAATCAAGGAACCTGAACAGGTCATCTAGCTCTAGAAATAAGGTGATGGCTGGGATGCAAGGATTACTATGAATAATTGATCCCTTTAGTCTTTTGTGAAGACAGCTTTCTTGAACCATACTTAAAACAGCGGAAAAATGGTCAGCCTCAGCCTCAGCCTCAGAACTTTTCTCTGGGTCCTTTCTGTAAAGAATACTTGCAAAATATCAGGCCTTCCACTACCATGAAGACAGCTGAGCTTTAATTATTTAATTCTTTTCTTATAAAGAAGTAACAGTTCTTGAAGAGCTAGGATGTTGTAGTCTCAGCCTATTATCTGTCTGAAAACCACCATTCTGTAACATGTTACAAGCATCATAAACAGTACAAGGAAAAGCATTTAGAATTCTTAGAATATCAAAAAACTTATTTGAATTCTAAGGAGTAAATGTCACTAAATTCCTACTATACACTTCTAAAAACTTTGCACCTTTAATGTACTTGATGAAAGAGGGTGCCCCTCCCCAACTCCATCAGTTACTTGTGATGGCAGGGAGACACAGCAGCACTTTCTAAAGAAAGGAGACGGTAATACCCCATATTCTGCTAGATGTGACTAAAATCAACTGTGCTCTGATCATCCTAAAAGAAACAGTTGTGTGCCTCCTAAGTAGCCACTAGAAACTGAGCACAGAACCCACACTGAATGCAGCCTGGCCCCCAAGCAGCTTCCAGAGAGTTCTGAACAGGAGTAGTTTGGAATATGAAGAAAAAGTTGGTGTAATGATGACATGGAAAAAGGGAAGGTGTTTTGGCTTTGGTTTTGTTTTTCTTCTCAGCAGGAAAAAAAAGAGAGGTTTCACTTTCACTCCTAACCACTCCCTTCCTCTAACCCAGACATGAAATAAAACTGGATTTAATATGCTTGACCTAGCTAAATACATCTGAGATGGAGATGGATTGGATCCTAAGAGAGGGAATCAGCCAGCTGAGTATGTGAGAAATAACACTGAGGATAGACAGAGCTGGAGCTCCTCATGTAGACCAGAAGCGGTCCCTGGAAGGACCTCATATAGACATAGAGGTGGGGTCTAGAAACCCTTCACACAGACAGGGATGGGGCTGACTGGCTGCAGGATGTTCAGGGACAGCTGGCAGTGCACCACATGTTGACAGCAGAGTCCTGCTACAGAGCCCAGACAAGGGAAGTCCTGGAGAATGCCACACTGTCAACCTGTCTTCTTAGATGGAGCAAGCTTCAGAGCCCTGGGCCCACCCCTGGTGGGGCCTGCCTGTGAAAGGGACCCCAAACTTACTAAGGCCAGACTCCTTTCCAGCTGTGACAAGTGGGGTACACAAATGGTAAAAAAAAAAAAAAAAAAAAAAAAAGTGCTTCTCACACCCAGCACACTGGAACAATTCACAAAATCCAAGTCAGGATAATTGTTTACTAACAAAATTGCTTTAATTTGAATGGTGTTCAAGGAAATAAATTAATGAAATCATTGGATCATTTGGCAAACTAATTCTGCATATTTCAGGTATCTATTGCTCAGATAAACATATGCCAAGTCAGATGAAACAAAACATATGCATTATACACAAAAGTAGAGAATTAAAACATTCTTTAATGGCTGTCAGAAGTTCACAAATCAAAAGCCCCTTAATAGTATAAAACAATTGAACACTGCAATGTTTTTCTAGGTCATGAAAAGAAGTTAATTCCAAGTCTATTTTATAAACTTATAATAATATAGTATTACTGGCTTTTGTTCTGGCATTTATCAAACTTGCACATGAGTTCCTAGAAGGCGAATTGGGCCTAATTCTTGAGCATTTATCTTCTCCAAATAGATGGGGTCTGAAAACCATATGATTTTCCTAATTAAATGGAAAAGAGCAGCAAGAAGCTAGTTTTCAGCCCATCAGTGGAGAGGTGTCCCTATGATGTTAATAGCACTGGCTGTTAGGAGCCTCCCCTGGGGCAGGAGCCCCCACAATGCTCCTGAGTCTGAGATGCTTCATTGAGACTCCTAGTGCTCATCTCCAGACTGGCAGTTGACAGAGCTCCACCTTCTGAAGAAAAAAGAAGACACTGTATCAATCACATGCTAACAACACAAGATTCTAAAATACTTTGCTTCTCCCTGGAAGAAATCCTAGAAGAAAAAGCTGCAGGGGGTTCCCCATTAGAAACGCAGCTGGCAATGTTCCAGAAGTAGAAATCCTGCTCAGGTGCTGCTCAGGTGAGCCATCAACACCAGCTTGGTCTGACTGCTCTGAGTAACAAAGCCTTGTCTGAAGAACCACAGGCCTCAGAACCCCTAGAGACACTCAGCATCCATGGCCCCATTCTACCCTTTACCCCAGTCAGACCATCACCAGTTATATTCCTCAATCCCTTCTCCCATGGGCACTTGTACCTTCAAGGTCCACAGCCATACCTGAACCCCAGTAGAATCCAGGGATCCCTGGACAGAATCAAGTCCCTTCTTCACAGGTAACAGGCCACTGATAGGCCCTGACATTTGTGTCCAGGGCAGCATGAAGGAGGGAACCTTCTTCTCCTCCTCCTGACCCAGGAAGGCAGCCTGATGACCTCCTCATTTCAAGTAAAGTCACTTAGGGAAGGAAGGATGCCAAGAAGCCTCTCACCTGGCTTGTTTACTGGACACACCTCTTCCCATGTGTAGTTAGCTAGGTTCACAGGTTGTATCACCCACGGGTCTATCACCAGCTTGTCCAAGGTGGTGCGCTGCTCAGGGGCTGGCTGCAGCAGCCCAGACACAAGGCTTATGAGTTCTGGGGACACAAAGAACACAGATGATATATCTGGGTCAGGATCAAGTGGGGTACATCTCAAAACTGCAGACTCCTGGGTGACCATACCCCTGCAGGGCCTTTGGGTGGAAGGCAGCCTGGGAACCGCAGGAGATCTAGTGCATGGCCTACTTGCACTTTGAGAAAAGCTGTGGGAGATGCTTGTCACCTCTGAAATGAAACCTTAAAGTTCAAGAGCCATCTCACTCAGTCGGTTTGTTCTCAGGGGCTCTGGCTATGAAGAGCCATGAATAACACAGGGTTAACATGATGGTTAAGGGGAAGGCAATCAGTAGGGGCATCCCCATATTGGTCCCCAGAGGAAGCCATCACAAGCTCTAAGAGGAGCCACCAGCTTTGAGTCTGGATTCCAATCTCATTTCCTCTAACAATGTGGGTGCCAACTCAGCTAGGGCCACTCAGAGCCTCACTGTCCCAGAGGACTCATCATGAGAGCCTAGTGGGAAAACACATGGAACAGTTTCTGTGGGTGGAAGAACATGCTTCAAGAGCTATAGTGTCATAGAAATCCAGCAAAGCTCTACAAAACCTCTTTTATGCTGCTACAAACTAAGTCATGGTCTACCACAGTTCTTATGTTGAAGCCCTAACCCCTAATAAGACGGTATTCAAAAGTGGAGCCTTTGGGAGGTAGCTGGAGTCAGGTAAGGTCATGAGAGTGGAGCTCCTCCCCCAACAGGATTAGTGTCCTTATAAAAAACAGGAAAAGACCATAGCACATGCACTCTCTCTGCCTCTGTCCTCTCTATGTGAGGACATAGCAAGAAGGTGGCCATCTCCAGAACTGTGAGAAACTCATGTCTTTTGTTTAAACCCAGTCTATAGTACTTTGTTATGAAGCAACTAACCTAAGCAAAGAATCAAGGCATAGAGTTTATGTATGAAGGCATTCATTACCTCACTACTTATAACAATAGATGATTGTTACAGAATCACAGAATGTCATGACTGGTACCTCGGAACTCTATGGTCCAGCTACCCCACTGACCACTGACTGTCTGTCAAACCCTCACTAGTTCCTAGGGCTCCTGCAGAGTGTAAGCTCCTGAGGTGACCCACTCCAGACTGAGGAAGCCTTTCTGACCACTGAGCCCACATCCATCTCCCCCATTTGTCCTTGCTGCAGATGCAAACTGCACGCTTGCCCCGAGAGGAGCGGAGTCACCTCATCGGGAGCTCATGGTGGGACCAGAGTCCCATGGCTTCACGTGAGTTGTTGGGGGTCAAGTCCCTCAATCCACCTCCCTGCACCCCATGTGAGAGAGTTTCTAATCTAAGTGCATGATCTTACAGTTACTGCCAGGGCCAAGTGTACTGACTGCAAGTCTATTTCTCACAAGAGGGTCTCCAATATCCAAAGGGGAACACTAATAAAAATTAAATTATTTGGGAGGTCAAGGCAAGAGGATTGCCTGAGCCTAGGGGTTCGAGACCAGCCTGGGCAACTTGGTGAGACATTGACTCTACAATATATCAAAAAATAAGCGATATGGTAGCATGCGCCTGTAGTTCTGGCTACTTGGAAGGCTAAGGCAGAAGGATCGCCTGAGTCCAACAGGTTGACGCTGGGGTGGCCATGAGCATGCCACTGCTGCACTCTAGCCTGGGCAATAAAGTGAGACTCTGACTAAAAAAAGAAATAAAAAGTTAAATTATCAAGATAGTCTAAAGTCATATTCAAATTATTCTTATTCGGATCAAAGTATTACATAAATAGAACAGAAAGATAAATGAGGTTACCAATATGGACAAAGATAGACTGAAGAAAGAGAGGAAGTGGGAAAAAAACTGCTGGTTTATGAGGACAGTGTCATCTGTTGGTCACTTATGGCTTGTGCTCACCTTCAGATACCAAGTACGGTGGGTGTATCTCAGCCTCCACTGTTTCCTCCAGCTCACAGAAGGGGTTCTCCTCAAAGATCAGAGTGTACAGCGTGACTCCCAGTGACCACATTTCTAGCTCTGGTCCTCGGTAGCTGTGAGGAGGAGGAAGCATCAGGGCATCAACGCTGGGGCCTCCACAACCATCACACAAGGCCAAGCAGCAGTTTTCAGGGAGATTTGCTACACCACTCCACCACATTCTCAATTTCCATGCACATCTGCCCCAAGTCAGCCACCAAGCCACGTGCCAGGATAGAGAGGCCCTTGGGCAGTTCCAGGTCTAATCAGGAAGGAACACCAACTTCAAGATGAAACAGTGCACACAGCTCATGGGAGCAAAGCAAGTGTCCACTTGGGGGCAGAAGGGCCTCCTAGAGGAAGCAGAACAAGAGTCACTTGGCTTGCTGAGGGCCACAAGAGCCACAGACAGGTTTAGAACAGGGCAGCGTGCCCTTTAGATGAGGCTGGGCATGTTTGTGGTATGGCAGTAGACAAGCACTCACTGTGGCAACAATGTGAAGGATGCTCAAGGACGAGACTGGAACAAGTGACAAATACTGAAGGAGAAAGTGAGGTGACAGCAGCAGGGATAGAGAAGAAAATGAACCAGAGGGCACAGTGGAGGTGGGTGTTTTTAGGCAGTGGGCCAACTGGAGGAGCAAGCTTTGGACAGAAAATGCCCTGGGGGGTACACTACGGTTATTTCTCATCATCATAAACATCTTCATCCAAACTACCATGTATTGGACACCTAGAGATGCTGACACTATAGCAGGCATTTTATATGGTTTAACCCTAATCCTCACAATAGCCTAGCAAGACAAATATGGTCTTCATGTTACACAGGACAACAAGACTTGGTGGGGTGAAGTTGCTGCCAAGTAGAACCAAGGCCCTGACCATGTGCTGCCTGAGGCAATAAGTTTCCTGGGGCTGGAGTTTTGAGGGCAGTCGGGCCTGGATAGTAAGTCTGGGAAACATCAGCCTTTCACCAGAGCCATAATTAGATAAGGCAGAAAAACTACAGCGGTGACAAGAAGGCCAAGGACAGAGCCCTCTGCTGGACTCAGAGAAGAGGGACCAGGAAGGGAAGAGAGCAGACGCAGAGCCCACAGCAGTAGCATGGGTAAAGTCAGGCCACTAGGTTAAGTGGAGAGAGGTCACCAGCACAGACCTCAGGGAAGCAAAGGGGACAAGAGACTGAACGAGCTAAAGCAAGAAAATCAGATTCAACAGTTTTTGTCTTTGAGTGGCTTCTGTTTTTTAGAGAAATATTTCAAGAATTTTAGAAGTCAAAGAGACGTAGCCAATAGAGTAGAACAGGAGTCAGCAACTTTTTCTTTTATTTATTTATTTTTAATTTTATTTTAAAGATGTGGGGTGGAGTTCAGGATTAGGTATACAAGTTGTCATCACACAGGTAAAGTTTGGGCCTCCCTTTGGTCCCCACTTTGCCTGGCTTGAGATCAAGCATCCTTAAGCAACTTTTTTCCACAAAGAGCCAAATAGTAAGTGGAGCGCATAGTCTCGTTCAGCTACTCAACTCTGCCATGTAGCACAAAAGCAGCCACAGACAATACATAACCAAATGAGGACTGTAGTATTCCAATAAAACTTTATTTATGAAAACAAATGGCAGGAGATATTTGCACACCCTTGTTCACAGCAGCATTATTCACAACAGCCAAAAGGTGGAAGCAACACAAATTGTCCATTGACAGATGAATGGATAAATGCAGTATATACACACAATGGAATGTTATTCAGCCTTGAGAATGAAGAAAATACTGTTACATGCTACGATACAGATGAACCTTGAGGACATTAGTGAAATAAGCCAGTTACAAAAAGACAAATACTATATGTTCCACTTATATGAGATACCTAGAATAGTCAGATTCATAGAAACAGAAAGTAGAATGGTGGATGCCAGGGAGTTGGGGAAGAGAATAGGGAGTTTGTTTAATGGGGACAGTGGCTAAATTTTACATGTTGAAAAGTGTTCTAAAGATGGACAGTGGTAACAGTTGTGACAATAACATGAATAGTCTTAATGCCACTGAACTGTATACTTAAAAATTGCTAAAGTGGTAAGCTTTCTGCCATGCATATTTTACCAGAATAAAAAGATAATCAACTTTTAGGAACAGTAAGCTGCAGGCTGAATTGGGACAAAGGTCATAAAGTAGTAGGAGGATATGAAAATGTTGAGGAAGGAAGCAAAGTTCCTAAGGACAGCACCAAGAATCAGAACTCAGAAAACTTTTCACTCAGTGAGATGGTAAGAGGATGTAGGATGAACAAAGGAGCTCATAGGAGGAAGTCTACAACCCAGCAAGCCCAGGAGCACCACAGCCGCTTGCATGGCAGGAAAGGAAGGGCCAGAACAAGTGACAGAGACCTCACAAGGCAGGGGCTGAGAGAGAAGGCCAGAGCAACAGCTCTAGGTGGCAGGGACAGAAGGTCACTGAACAGCACTGAGCTGTTGGCCCAGGTTGGAACCCATACCCACCTCCCCATTCTCCCCCACAGAAGCTTCGCAGCCTGAGTGCAGGATGGGCATTACCAGCCATGCAGCACATGTCACAGGTCAGCGGACAGGGGACACATAGTTCCCCCTAACATGAACAACACAACACCGACATCAGGGCAGAATCTACTGGCACTCATCAAGTATCACAGTAACCAAATCAGATCTGAAAAGAAACTCCAAGGCCCTTCTCAGACCATCCCCCCTTTCATATTTCACACTGTGATGGCTCTGAAGATGTATGGAGGCTCTAGAGGGAAGAGCTTATTTGTGCTCTCTCCATGCTCTGCACACAGGCACCAGGCAGGCCAGAGAAAGCCCACCTGATATGGAGAAGCTGGCGCAGACGGAGGGCTGCTGGGTTCAGAGGACCCAGTGTGGCAGCCTAGAGCCAGCACATCCTGACTGAGATGAAACGTGGCCTAGATAGACACCAAGACCTAAGCGCCAGGTCACTTCTCGCCCCAATGTTGAAGGTTCTCATAAGACACGACACAGAGACGGCAGTGGCTATAAGCGAACACTCTAGACCCAGGCCGCCAGGTCAGATCCCGCTCTGACCATGTCTATCTAAGTGACCTCACATACCTGTCCCACGAGAACAATATCAGCCTCCCTCCTAAAGGACCACTTGGAGCGGGCACAAGCAATATGGCAGACTGCTACAGTGGTGGGTTGTGCAGGTCCATATGTCACTATGACTGTCTGATCTTCTAACCATGAACTCGCCTAGAGACACATTCTAACCACACGTCTAAAGTATGTGTAGATGCTAGAGGAAAATACTTGTTGTCTGTTTCAGACTTCATGAAATCCATTTCATATATATAAAGACACACTTGGTTTATATGCAAATGACACAGATCTAGGCACATGCAGGAAAAAGTACAGTCAGCAGACAGTTTCCACTCAAGCCCTGCAAACCCATGAGCAACAACAGTTTCCTTTCTATTTTTCTTTCCTCTCAAGTTCTCCAAGAGATGGTCCTGCCCAGGCCAGCCCCCAGCTCACAGGCTCCCCTTACTGCAGAGATGCAAATGCACCCCAGGACACTGCTTCTCCCCCAGCAAGAGCAGAGATGCTCAGCTGGCCCCTATCCTCAGGGCACAGCTGAGCAACAGGAGGCTGGCTGGTCAGTGATAGCAACCCCAGCCAGGGGTTCCATCTTTAGCACAAATTCCCTGCAATAATACTTTCTCTATTACTCAACTTCTTATATGGCTAACCCGACAATATTTTATTGGAGGAAATTATTATTCCTGTCATCAAAATAAATAAACCTAACTGAAAAAGAATCCTTTTCGTTCATTTGAAGACTACATTCTTTTGGGACTTTTTAATCTTTGTCTTTTATATTTTTCTTGTTATGTAAAAAACATAAACACAAGTTGGGAAAACAATATAATGAACCCCTATATAGCTATCACCCAGCTGCCTTTGATCAATATTACCTTGCCTGCCTGTCTGCCTACTTCTTTTTCAAAACGCCCTTACCACAAATTAAAGCTGTTTTCCCACCTAAAACCAAACCAATAATCACAGTATCCTGACAAAAGACACAAAAACAGGCTATACTGAAGCATAATACGTACGGATTCCCCATGAGAACTTCAGGTGCACAGTACTCAATGGTTCCACAAAAAGTATAAAATAATTTGCCCCTTTCCAAGTAGGCAGCTGAGCCAAAGTCTATCAGCTTAATTGTAAAGTCTTCAGCAATCACGATGTTTTCATCCTTGATGTCCCGATGAATAATGTTCTTCGAGCGCAGGTATCCCACTGCCGACACCAGCTGGAATCAGGAGGCCAAAGAGGACTTTTTAAAAAAACAATTCAAGCAATACATGCATTAAAAATAAATTTCAGCAAAAAAGTAATAAATAAACATAAAATAAACAACTGATAATTAAATGGTGACAGGAAATAAATTTGGATGCTGAAGATATGATTCAAAGCAAACAGGAGGCAAAGCAGATCCAGACAGTATGCTCACTATGGCTGGCACACATGAGCTAGCAAGGCAGCAACATAAAGACATGATTCATAGTTCTATCTGCTCCAGAGAAAACCTTACCAGCAAACACTTGCCCCATGATACACACCATGACCATCTCATAAGGAAAGACTGGCAAAAGCTCAAAGAAATTTGTGGTGGGCAACCAAGTGAGTACAGGTTTGGTGTTAAGTGGGAAGTGCCCAAGAGAGCTGAATCAACACCCTCAGTTCACAGGAAGGGAGCATGACTTGCCCAGAGTTCAGGTAGCAATTTGGGGCAAAACTGGGAACAGAAACTCCTACTTTGGGGCAGCTTCTCAAAGAGCAGCATGATGTATATCAAGCCACCCTTTCCCAACATGTGTGATTCTCAACGATGTGGACTTAAAGTGGTTCCATTGGAAATGGGCTTCATTTCCATTGTAGAGTTGCTACAACATACCACTGCCCAGTCTGCATCTCTCATGACACAGGACAACAAAATTAGCCTATCAGTTAAAGTCAATAAGATTCATAAAATGTCTGACCACATAATTTGCACACCAATTGTACCAATCAACTTAGTGATTTCATGGATGAGGTTAATCATTTTGATCTTTAGAGACAATTTTATATTTACAAATGAATCTCTGAATGAGAAGCAATAGTTAATGATAGGTTAACTCAATTAATTAAATTATAGTTAATTGCCCAGAGTTCAGGCAGCAATTTCGGGCAAAACTGGGTACAGAAACTCCTAACTCAGGGCAGCTTCTCAAAGAACAGCATGATGTATCAGACATCTTTCCCCAGCATGTGATTCGCAACAATGTAGACTTATATGCCCAATTAATTAAATTATATTTAAAATATAAATATATGCATATTTACGCATACATATGTGCCCATATGCATACTTATATATACATGCACATTTATGTACGTACATGTGCAATATATACATACCTACATATGCACATGTGCATGCATTCACATGCAACATATAATGCATATGTACACATATAAACATATATACATGCATGCATGCATATTATACGTAGACATATACATATCAGTCAAGATTCAGCCGGGAGACAAAAATCATACATTAATTTGAACATGGAACATTTCACTGAGATTTAACTAGTACTGAGGGATAAACTACAAAAGGGTAAGCACAACAACAAAAAAAGAGAGAACTTGAACCAGGAAGAGAAGCCGATCTTCCTGCAGGTCCCTCCCCTGCTCTGGCCCAACAGAGCCGCCCATGGAGCTCCCTAAATAGCAGAGTTGTTCCCAGTCCCTAGCTTCCCTACTGTTGAGCAGGCTCTAAGGAATTTAGAGCTGAGAGGCAATACACTGACAACTGGCATAATTTATATATACATGTATGTATGATAATATATTTTTATAAAATTATGAATCTATACTTACATACAATAACATTTATGTATATATATTTACAAAGGGGCTATAGATATTTCTGCAAAGATTTTAAAGGACAGAATTCTATCATTAACCATAACACTAGCCCCAGAATTAATAACTGATAGGTAGTAGCTAGTAGCTTTTAACAAGTGACTCCTTATGTTACCTCATACAGATGCTCTGCTTGCCATAAAAATTTCAGAGACAAGTCTTTGCCACAAATTAAAGTAAATAAGTACATAATCTTCCAACATAGGAAGAGGGAGAGAGGTTACTTTTTTTTGGCAGAACCATAATGTCTGAAACTTACAAATAGGTGTCTGAGAAACTAAATTTCAGGAATCTAATAACATCTGAGCGTGTATAGCTTTGAGGAAGAAATGTCAACTTATGGAAGTTGTCGTTAGAAATCAAGTCATCTCAGCTCGCAGACTGGGAAAAAATATTTGCCAACTCTCTGTCTGACAAAGGCCTAACATCTAGGATCTACAAGGAATTCAAACATGCTGAAAAGAAAAAAACAAACAGCCCTATTACAAAGTGGGCAAAAGATATGAATAGACAGTTCTCAAAAGAAGACATATGAGCAGCCAACAGATAAATGAAAAAATGTTCAACCTCACTAGTCATCAAAGAAATGCAAATTAAAACTACACTGAGATACCACCTAACTCCAGTCAGAATGGCCATCATCAATAACTCAAAAAATAACAGATGCTGAAGAGGATGTGGCGAAAAGGGAACACTTCTGCACTGTTGGTGAGAGTGTAAACTAGTACAGCCTCTGTGGAAATCAGTGTGGCGATTCCTAAAAGTTCTAAAAATCGACCTTCCATATGACCCCACAATCCCCCTACTGGGAATATACCCAGAAGAACTAAAATCACTCTATAAAAAAAGATACCTGTGCACATATGTTTATCACAGCATTGTTCACAATAGCAAGAACATGAAACCAACCGTGCTGCCCATGAAAAGAGAACTGGATTAAAAAAATGTGATACAGCCGGGCTCGGTGGCTCAGCCTGTAATCCTGTGCCCTTGGGAGGCTGAGGTGAGTGGACTGCCTGAGCCCGCGGGCTTGAGACCTGCCTGGGCAACTTGGCGAGACCTCATCTCTACAA